TACTGCAAAAGCTGCACAGTTGCTATTGAGTTCTGGCCCTCATCATCTTCGGCTCTTATTTTGCAGCACCTCAAATGTTATCCGCATCAGGAAATCGCGTTTGTATTGTATTTGAAAGCGCAATTAAAGGACTTGGCAAAGTGCCAAGGAGCCGCACGCGACACGCGCGCTTACGACGGATGTTATGAAGGACGGGAATCTGCGCCGCAAAAAGGTGTAAGGCGGAGCATGGAGGAATTAGCGTGTTTCACGGTCCTGTATCTCCATTCCTGCGCATGTTAGGACGGGGAAACCGCTACGCTTCGACAGCTGGGGGCTGATAGTCACGCACACCCAAACTATGTGTGATCGTACCATGTGTCTTTAAGTGAATAAAACTGCTGACTACTGCTTTGGTTGGCCAACGACTGTCACTGTTCAGGCTCGTCTGCGGAAGGGCAAGGGGATTCTGAATAGAGGTGGGATGTGAGGTCCATCCTAACAAGATACTGATCTGCACCGAAAAAACTAATCGCTTCAACATTGTATTTGCAGAAGGTGTATAACGCGCTCTGCTGAGACTGAGATATTTCTGACCTAGGAAGTATACTAGAGAGTAGTTCCCGCTGAGAACTCCAATCTGATACACCGTAACGAAACATCGAATAAATTTTCGGTACCGCTGTAAATGGCACTAGTTCTTGATATTCCATTACATTTACGGTTATTTGCGCCGAAAATCTCAAAAACCGTGGAGAAGCTGCAAAACGTAATCTTTGTACGAGAATCCAGTAATATTTGCGCGAAACAAATACAGACTCGAAAGACCACGTAAATCACTCAAAATAATATTAGGCTTTCAACATGAGCAATGAGAAGGCGATAGAGCAGAAACTTGGGCTGTCACGAAAATCACCAGCTGATCGCGACGGTGAGATGAAAATCGATAAATTCACCCAACTTCCTCAAACATTGCGTTGTAAGCTGCGAGGAAGTGCAATGGACGGCGAGTCACAAGACAACACACAACTTTTCATCATTGAACATAAGACGTAAAACTCTTTATTAGAGACACTTGTTGCACGGTCAGAATCTTCCAAATATGCGATCGCAATATAACGAATATAACGCTGGTAACGTAAAAAAATAAGCGCTGATATAAAACATTCCCGAAATTTCAAAATGGTCTACCACAAATGAGACCTAAAATGTCAACAAACACCCATAAAGAGCAGTGCTGTCGTCAAAATAGACGATAACAAGGATATGATTCCACTGTAAAAGTCGAGGAAGGTTGAACAAAAAGGAAGAGCCCTGTAGCTATAAAAGGCAAGGATGAATTATTCCAGATTTGAAAGAATAAGTGAATGATTACAAAATGGCCTAGATTCTCCCTAAAATCTCTAAAGCGCTGCGAGATCGCACTGCGATAGAGAACTCTATCACTGTTGGGGCATTACATCGGAGTGACCGTTGTCGTTGCTTTGATACCGTAATCAGCTAGCCGCTTCAGGGCTGGACGGTAGACTTCCTTGGTTACCGGCCGCAGCATTCCAGGCCGTTGAATCTCTCCTGAAACACTCGCCATGAACCGTTCGACCGCTCTCCGCTCAGGTAAATTATGAGATCCTTCGAACGATGAATGCAGCGCTATTTGTGAGTCTACTTCTATGTAGAAGCAGCAGAGCTTACCGTACCCTTTCGTTTTTGCAGTTCATTGAACGAGCCCAGTCGAAAACTAACCTTGTAAGACCATGTTGGATACAATAGCGCACGTATATCCAACAGTGCGAGCCATTGCTGAGAAGCCATTGGGGTCTCCATAGGCTACCAAACTAACTCTATGTCGCTCCATGCTACCACCTGAATTGAAGATGCTGAACTCAAAAGAAAGACGACAGCAGATTAATTCAATACAGGGTAAGAATTAGTAAAGTCTAAGAATGATGAATAGCTCATTGCGGTGGTCTTATGTCTGGCAGATGAATTTGTGTTGGATTATTTACTCATTCATGTGCGCCATTCATCCGGAATCAGGCCTCAGTTTTTGATTCAACTCTTTCTTCACAGAGGGCAGACTTGGCTAATCCACCATCGGTATTCTGTGGTAGCTTTGATCCTCCTGAACACGAATATCACATCCACTTGGCCTCGAATCTACGAACGCCCGCGCCACATGCGTTGAAACACCCAAAATCACCTTATTCGCTGAAAAGAATATCTCTGAAACTTGTTCCCCAATAGGCAGGTCTGACCAAGTGGATACAAATGTCGCACCAGTTAGGTTTGAAAACGCCTGTCGCCTAGTCGCAAACGACTCATCCTTTGTTCTGCTGCGTGTAGCACAGGCATCCCACTTGGTTTCGTGTCGAGCGGTATGCTGGGGCAGTTAGGGAGACGGTAAGGAAAGGCAGCACCCTCTCCGGTCGCCTGTAATAGTGATGCTCCTCTTTGCTAAGGGTCAGCCTTAGCACAGGAAAGGTATTTCGGGGGTAGGGTGCAGTCGAGCAGAAGCAGGCCGCGCTATTTTTATTCCATCGTTGACTTTCTTAACACCTCATACAGATGCTGTATTTGTGTTCAGGAGGTGAAACTACCTCGAGGACAAGTTTCAGCACCTCTAGTGACTTGGGATGTTTTGACGCCGGCGCGGGCGCCCGAGATTTCGGGTGAATGTAATATCCTTGTTCAGGAGGTGAAACTCCTCCTGGGAACAAGTTTTTAGTAAAGCAGTCGATGAGCTTTTCAGCAAGTTTTCCCGCGGAAGAAAAATTTGGTCAAAAACTAGCCTGATTTCGGATTATTGGGGTAGTAAAAAGTAAAAAGTGTCTTTATTTTGACCTGAATTTTACGAGGACAACTGTTCTGAACCCGGATATTGAGTGAGAAATGGCTTATTGATAGATAGCTACATTCTACAGATTCTTTTGCGTACCAGGGTTGCGATGGGTCGGTACATGCAGAGTGTCTGAGACTGACGCTCATGCAAAAATGCACCAAACGCAATGCTCGGCGCACTTCAATCGCGCATTTTACGAAATTACTGGGACTAATTATGCAAACTTATAGCTAATGGACTACTTTTTCATGCGACTAACCATGGTAAGTAACTATGCAAAATAAACACACATCTAACAAGGTACAGAAGGAATCAGTGCAGAAGACGTCTACGCTCTATGTGAACATTGTATGTGCAAACCTAGAGCTTGAAAATAGGCATGCTGAGGAACAACTTCCCACTTCAACCTTCTAATTACTAACCAATTCATCTTCGGGATGGGCCGCGCTGTTACTTCGATCCAGTATCGTAGGAGCACTGCGCACGCGATTGCCCAACACAATCCTACTACATATAAACGGCAACGTCTGTCTGTCTGTCTGTCTGTCTGGTGGTCTGTCTGTCTGTCTGTCTCATTGTTTGTCTGTCTGTCCGGAAATTCGGAACTACCTGAAGAGCCAGTCTCAGGGGGCGGGTCAAGGTTGGGATAGGGCATGGGCCAAGATGTACGAAACACACGTGTAACCAGGCTGAAGCCCCCCCACCCCTGTGCGGGCTGCGCCACAGCTGTGAGCTGCAAAATGTCTAAATTATTCGTAAATTGGTTGTTAAAAGAGCCCGGAGAGTGGAAAATGTGGCAAATGATAGGCAATCGGTTGGCGGACAAAATGAGTGAGACACAGTCAATATGGGCGGGCGTTCCATAGGTGGGCTGTACTTGCCACAAAACATTCAAAAATTCGTAACGCAGTACCAAAGGAGCCCGGAGAGTGGAAAATGAGGCAAATGATAGGCAACAGAGTTGGCGCACGAAAGCAATCAAGCACACCCCTGGACGGGCGGGCGTCGGTTCGCCGAAGTGAAGGTGCCGAGCACAAAAACCCTCAAAATGCATCCGAAAAACCCACAAAATGGGGAGTAAGGTGAAACAGAGCAATATTTGGTAAATGAAGTTAGTGATGACCAACAAGTGTACTCCCTACGCAACTGGCGATTCCTCATCACTAAGAGGGGAGTGCCGAGGAGGGGGGAGGCAATATTTTTTTCGACCATCTTGCCGGCGAAGCCGGCCGATCCGACTGCCTCCCTTTTATGGAAACTTTTCACCGGGACCCACTTCACACGCAGAAGAAGGATCGGCCGGCGAAGCTGACCGATGTGACTGGTCAGTTATAGCGGGCCAAGCGTGCGTGAAAAAGGTTAGTGTTTTTCATCTTCCCGGTGAAGTGCGGACGTAAAAGACCTAGGTATGGTAGGTTTTGGCCAGGAGGGGAGTTCAGCCCAGATGGGTGTGTCCCGAAATCACACCCTTTCTCTTTTGCTAGTACACAGTATGCGACAAGACTACTGTAATATGCCAAGTTAGTGGATGGCGAACGACACCGCGCGCGACAGACGAGTTGTCCCGCGACGCTGGCCAGCCGTGGTCAGACCCATGCGCGCGGCAAGCGATGCCATCTACCACTTCAACACCTCCCGCCCAGACAGCTTTTCTCATAGCGATATGTAGAGTATCTCTCCGTTCGTGACAGAACGCTTGATGTCCACAAAGCGCAAACAGCTTATACCCACGATTCCTTTTGAATCCTCGACTATCACTATAATGCTTACGGAACAATATCGGAGCTGCAAGTCACCTTCTGGGAATACTGGAACATATTTAAAATGATATTGTTCACTTAAGAATTCACATAATTTTCGTCAAATGATAAACAGAGAAATTGGTAACAAGTCTTGCAGTTGAAGCATAATGGGAGACCAGTGAACCGTTCTGTTCGTACCCATTCATATTCACTCACACTGTAGCGCAACTATGCGTGCATATCAAATAAATAAGCAAAAAAATAATAAATTCGGTCATAAGGGAAATTTGGGCACGGGGTGGAAAAATCAGTGTGCAAAATGTGAGCTGAGCCCGCAGCTGCAGTAGAGTGCCGCTTTCTCAACTCAAAAATGCACGGCAACGAGGCCCTTGTACCGTATTTCGACTCCTCACGCACTAGTCTCAATCTGCAGCATCTAAGCCGAAATCAAACTCTTGCAGCGAGCACCAAAGAACGGGCAGGAGTGAGAGGACGCCGACAAGTAGCGCGTTCGCCTATGGTTAGGCATGGGGCCGGCCGTGCGGCAACGCGGGCAGAGTTCGAAAACGACACCCAGGTATGATGTTTGATTATAACACTTCAAGCACAAGATGTTAGGACATACTTTGTAGCCGAACTCCGATGTCATGGTTGAGAATCACGAGATCACGTTCGCCTTCTTGGAATGATAAGATCTGAATGCACATTCATCATTGGAACTCTTCAGATAAGTCAACTTGTTAAAATAGAACCTTAGCGAGATATGGCGCCAGAGTGTCGAGTGCATTTCCATGTCTGTCAGCAACTATGTCGCTGAACAAACCCAATTCCTGCAGAGCTCTCATGCCTATAGCGTTGGAACTACCAACACGCTCAGCGGCTATATTACGCAAAGAGTCAGGGAAAATGTCAACTTTCTGGTTGAGAAGAGACGCCATAAGCTGCTTCTGTAAAAAGATAAGTATCAACACTGAATATGAGTTACAATATAAAGAAGTTCCTGTTGCATTACAAAAAGTAATTTTCATGGAAGAACTGACCCATGTCAAATCAGGGCCTACTATGGGATTGAAGATATCCTTTGGTTGAGTATCAAGCAAACCAACAGCGTCTAACGCCTTTACTGTTTCAACGAAGCCCTGGAATACGAGTTAGAAAGCTGCGTTCAAGGCAATTTCTGAAAAAAATCTAAGGCTTCTGTCAACTGACCTTGTAACGAAGAGTTCCTCGTAAAAGTGTTTTGCAATCTGAGCCGAGTCCATAAATGTCGGCATATTGCGTTGAATCACGATTACCGTACCCAATTAGGTTGAATCCAGGCATGAAATCGATCGGATACAAGTGATCAACCACCTTTCCGCTAGGAATTTCCACAACCTTCAATAATTCAGACCATGAGATGTTTCGAGCTCATCCAACTCTAAATATGCTCACCTTTCCGTTTTGACGGTATTTTGCTGGGTTTAGGAGGGCTGTCAGAACACCTTTTGGACTCCAGCTGAACTTATAACGAAGCGGGTTATCAGACGCTTCAGGAGCTGGCAAACCACCACAGAAGGAAACGAAAGAAGTGATCTAGAAAATCCCATTAAAAACGAACACAGCAAGAGAACAATCGCAGAGCACAACGAACCTTCCCTCCATGCTCTCTAATCTCATCAAAACACTCCATAGCAAGCATGTGATCAATTCCAGGGTCCAGGCCGGACTCATTCATGATTGTTACGCCGGCATCCTTGGCTCTAAAAGAGTAGCCTTCACTTGAAACATAATTTTTGATTCAAAGTTGGAACCATTTTTGGATGATGGAAGAAAAATTTGATTCAAAGTTGAAAGTATTTTTAGTGAATGCATGATGGAACCCTGCTTACCAATACGTTTCCATTAGTTTCCACTAAACAAGAGTGCGTTTCCACTTTGCGTGAAAGTTATGAGCGTTTCGAACGCACGCCAGCTTTAAAAAGCCAATAAGAAAGTAAACGTATTGATCCAGCGTTTCGAGCGTAGGCCTGCGCACGCCAGTCTTTTGAGCAACTAGAGAAGTATAATGGGTTGGCCCATGAGTGATGGCGTTTTTTCTCACACAAGTTTTTACATAGGAAATACAGTTGTTCCCAATATGTTCTATACTGTTTGATATATGTTCCATACTGTGTGACAGATAATTTTCTGCTCTAGCGCGATATTTCGAGTTCGAGTGAGAAAAAACGACATTACTCATGGGCCGTCCCAGTACCTAGGTAACGGTTTAGCGTTCTCATCGTGTGTCAGCCTTCCTTGTTGCTCAAAACGCCGCCATACGCTGAAAACGCTGACGCAAAGTATGAACGCATTCTGAGGGGGAGGCTCGGTGGGGAAATTTTTAAAAAAAATGCTTCTAACTAGAATAGAAGAACGGTATTAAAAATGATATATAAGGCTCCCAACTTATCAAACAGTTTAAAGCGTCTTGCTTAAGTCAGAACTCACGCTTGATCTAGTGCTTGAAGTTCAGGAGTGACATAACTGCTGGTGACCATGTTCGTTTTGTTTTTGATGCACAACTTGGCTACCATTGGGTGGAAAACATACGGGAGCAGAGAAACGACTTGATCATGCTCACTGCAACGACAGTTCCAATTATTATTCTTCATTTTTCTTCCTCTGATCCCTCGAAGATGACGACGTACCTCACAAGTTGGTCCAGTACATCGTGCTCTCTGTTAACGTCAACAACAAGTGACGTAATGTTATCACCTTTTATCAGGCGATGACCGTCCTCACGCGATTCAGTAGCCACTGTTACGTGAACCTGAGACAGCTGCTACTCATCAAGCCCGCCTTTTGCACTAAAACGTAAGAACTTACCTTTGGCTGCTTAGAATAGAAGTCGGCGAACGGACCGCTGACCATCCCAGCCCCGAGAAGGAGAACCTTCTTCTCATCGCTCCCCATCACACGCGATTTGTGTGCAGATGAGCTGAAATACAAATAGTTGATTTCGATCAATGTAATTCGTGATGTCTTCGTCTCTGCGCGAGGAGATACAAGCAGGGCACATCATTGGTTGGAGATTTTAGTCGAATCGTCGAGTCCGTACGACCCGCCTCCCTTTTTGCTTTTTTTTTGGGGGGGGGGAGTGTAAAGTACACA